CATGGTAAACGTGCCCCCGTCCCAACTATTTTGAGACCTGTAGCAGGCATCAAATTTGAAATGAGCTCATTTATTGGATAAAAGTGTAAAATTTCTCAGTTTAAACATTTGTTATGTTATCTATGTTCTATTGTGAATAAAATGTTGGCTCATGTGATTTGAAAGTCTTATAGTTTTCATTTTATTCAAATTTAAAAAACGTCCCAACTTTTCCGCAATTCAGGTTGTACACAACAAACTAACAATATATGTTAAAGTTTTCTTTTAGTTGAACACATTAAAAAATATATGTAAACAAAAAATATAAAGAACAAAAGCATTTAAGCTCAAGCAGCACAAACGGAAAAAACACCTAATAAAGCAGACTGCGCCAGTTATCGTACAAAACGTACATATATATACACTCGAGTCAGCATATGATTATTGTGTTTATATTGGTTCACGTTTATGTTGAGAAAAACACTAATATCCACATGCTCGAGTGAGAAAACACACTGAACTGACAGATGTTTCCGAGACACAGATAACGGTGTGCTAAGCGAAGTTTCCAACAGGACTTTGCGTTTTCTGTTCTTAAACCTGTCTCCCTCAACGAAACTTAAAGGAAGTATATGTCTCAAAATCATTTTGCTATTAGATAAGTTATCTTCTCGGCTCACTCGGGGTACAGCTGCGCTTACATTCGACTGCTGTTTGGATTTCATGTGATTTCTCATTGTGGTGATGATATAACTCAGATTCATTAATTAATTTGATTAAAAGTAATTCCATTTTGTAAAATCATTTAGTAAGATCATTTTCAAGTAATTCCAAACTTCGCGAGGCAGAGTAGAGGACAACATTATGTGATCACAAACAACTTGTAAACACGCTCCACAGTGCCACCCAGTGCATTTAGTTCTAACTGCGAGTTATTTTTCGAATAATAATTGCAGATCGAATGTTCGAAAATTCTAATATTCATGCACACCCCCAATGAAATGCATGACAAAAATGTGTGTAATATAAATCACAACAAAACAACTTGAATTATTCTGTTTATACGTTTTCCTGATCTCCCAACTCTTTCCTGATCCTTCTATTTAGTTGCTGGTTATGCTCAAACTGAACAAAATTTGTTATATCCAGGTATTTGATTATGTACCTTGTTTGTGAAGTTGAAGCATTTATAAAAAATAAAAAAATTAGGCCTGGGCAAGTTAACGCGTTATTATTGCGTTAACGCATTTATTAATTAATGCCGACAAATTTTTTTATCGCGCGTTAACGCAGTTTTTTTTTTATTATTATTTTGAAAGTCCGTTGCTCACTGGCTCTGAATACACATAGGCCTACAGTCAAACCATGATCACAGCAGGGGTGGGATGTTGGTCAGCCAGCAAATAACCCACACAAACAAGCAGTGGAGGGGCTTTGGCAGGTTCTCTCAGGTGAACAGAAAGGGAGACAGCGCTCCGCGAGTGAATGACAGGCGCTCTATGGATAGTAACCATGGCAACGGCTTCTGTGCGCTACGCAGCTGTAGCCTTTTTAACTTAAATTAAAATTATACATAACTTTACCTGATAGGCCTGCGTTTAGTTTAGTGGAGATGTGCTGCCATTTGAATTCCCTTCTGTTGATGACGTCCTGATAACTATTTAGATTGTGGAAACTCACAAACAGCGAGCCGAGGATCAGTCTCAATGATTTGTGCTGCGCGTCAATTCAACTTCGGCAACGGGAGGGCGCGAGCGCGTGCGTGAGGCGAGCATGACCGCAACAGTTTCACAGGAACACACTCGCTTGTCGCACTAGCTTGTCGGTTCTAGCAATCACAGCGCTTGCGGTAGGCTACGCGTATAATTGACGCATTGTTACATTTTTGGAGAGGTGCACGTCAGGGTACGCGCGCTACATACAGCAGTACGTAGCTACGCCGTGAGTTCGACGCAGAAGTATAAATTGGGCTTTACATCTGTTTAATGTAATCTAGTGTACGTGGGAAACCATGTCATGACCAAACCTAAGCTACTATCAGAGAAGTAACGTTGGTCGACTTATATCTGTACTAGTGGTCATGACCTCTGACTACATAGACTGTTTCTGCTGCTCCCTGATAAAAGATACCTGTCCTGTTGATACCTGTTCAGAAAAAAAAACAAGAAAACTGGACTCGTTTTAACAATCTAGATACAAGGTAATGCCCTGGCAGTGGTATAGTTTTGTTTTAATATTTGATTTGATTTCATTAATGTTTAAGTTTAGTCTGGGTTTCCCCATACTGCCTTCCCGCAGCGCGATTTTATTCACGCTGAAAGGCAGTATGGAGACCATGGACCAAATTTTCGCCTCATTTAGGGAACCAATCACAGAACGGGGAGGGAGCAGCAAGACGATGACGCGTCTATGCGACACACCGAAGCAGTTTGTTTATACCTATGGATCAAACATGGCAGTAGACGCGAAGTTACCTTTCGATGCAGCCTTACGGCCGTTTCACATATAGGTTTCACACCGCAAGCGTGAGCGGCATTTGAGCAGCGCGTCAGCGTAACATCGTCACTGCAGCTGCAGACGCGCGAGAGTATTCACACTGGAAGCGTTTGTAGACAGTGTCACAGCAGCGGCTCCAAAGCTACATATCGTTAGCCTCATAGCATAATTGCTTAAGTCATTTTGTGTTTTTTCTTGTTTTCCAAAGACATTGAAATATGACTTCGGCATTATATATAAGCGAGCAATTCTTTACAAAGACAACTATACATTTGTTTTTAGAAGTTGGTCATTTTATAACATTGATAGTCTTGAAAGTTTGTAATGGGGAGGTGTACAACATTCGCATATAAGTTAAATGTAATACAACAAAACAACCCAGAAAATGGCTCCAATCTATTAGTTTCAGTCATACTTTCGATGTTTACAAGACCGCAACTCCGCGGATAAAAAACAAAACACACAAATAAACCACACACTCGGGTTTGATTTGGGTTGTGCTAGCCTGTAGCTGTCTGTGTGTTAACGTTACATGAACTAACGTTTATATATATTTTCTGGCTAGTTTACTTTAGTTTTTTTTAATTTATATAATACACAACTTTCACCCAAACTGAATAATTAAAAACAAGTTTGTACCGGGTAAATCTTCTATAAATATTTTAGAGTCTTTATTTTCTTTTATTTGCCTACTCAAGTTCTTGTTAAAACTTTTTGTGGCAATTTTTGTGGCAATTTTTGTGTGAAATCACATTTATTTTTGTCCATCAAAAGTGTGCTTTCACTTTAATTTAGCGTGAGCAATGCAGCAAAAAACAGATTCGAAACCCCCGCTTCACTGCTGCTCACGCGCCGCTCCTGCTCGACGCTCACGCGCTGCTCCCGGTGTGAATGCACTCATTGCTTAACATGCACGCCGAAAAAAATACGCGCCGCTCACGCATGCGGTGTGAAACGGCCGTTAGATACACGCCATCGTGTAGGCTACACATAAATCTCTGACCCATCGGCCATCGTCCTCTCCCTCGTTTAATTTCTGTCGCTCTACATACGTCATCTGGTATAATCGAAACGATTGGCTATGAGCTACGTACAGGCGCATTTGATAGACATTCTTAGCACCCAATAAACGGCTCTGGGCATTCGTAAACCACGCCTCAAATACGAGAAAATGAACATGTGGTTCCCAGACCCAAGTCTCAACGAGAATTGGGTCTGGCGTTAGCCAGGCTAGTTTAAGTTGAGATTTACAATAAATATTTTATTGCTACTGTGTAAAGGGAATACTGCTGGTATAAAGCAGCTTATTTGTTTAAAGTTTTGGCAAACCACATGTTATTGCTCTTTTGTGTATATAGCAGTACATTTAAATCAAAAGTGCGCAATACACTACTTTAGAATTCATTATTCACTCTTGCGCGTAACAATGCGATTAATCGCAATAAATTCATGCGATTAATCGCGATTAAAAAAATTTAATCGTTGCCAGCACAAAAAAAAAAAAAAAATCAACTCTCCCACCATATTTAGATTTAAAATGAATTGCAAGGACTTGTTACCCTGGGTCACATGACCATAAACGATTAAATTGCTTCCTTGAAGTGACCATGATCGCATGTTCCCTTTGCTAACTGACTTGTGGAAGGGCCCTTCGTGAAGGGATTCAGTGGTTCACTCTTGTTTAGAACGGCCCTACAAATGGCTTCCCATTCCCGAAGTGCCCTTTCAAGGGTGCAAAAACGCAGGTTGGAATTTGCCCAGTGTACACGTGCATTTTCTTTCTCGACTGTTTTAGTTCACTTAAGACATGGCCTACTATGTTTGCATGTCAAGACAGGCATGTTGACATGATTTTTGTGTGAATCTGTCTGTTCAAGCACAAGACGACTTGAAAACTAACTCAATTTAGTATTCACGCTCTATCTGAGACTTCCCTTTGGATGAGTGTGCACGAAACTTCACACAGCACGTGCGAGTTCTCTTTTGCATCTTCTTATGCTTGAATGTTTAAATTGGCATGGCTTAAAAATGCACAAATGATCAACTTTTGTGACGATGCAGCACTGGCCCTGTGGACCATCGGGCAGTCCTTACTGTCTTACTGTCCTTACTTGTTTTCGTTATTGAGTGCCTTCATCCTTCCCTCGCACTTTGTAACAAATCCTTCTCAAAGCCCTAAAATTATACTTTTTTTGGTCCAAATAGCTGATTTCATTTCATTTTGATAATAGCAATTTTTTGGGAGTTGTTTTGTTATTTACCTTTAAATGACTATTTTATCAATAAATAATAATTTAAGCACATTCTTCACATTTTTTCAACTTAAATTCAAAACAACTCATTTCATGCATAACCCTTTTAATTCAGCTCAAAATATATCACATTGGGTGTCTCTGCCGACCTCTTGTGGAAAAAAAATTGCAATTGCAATTCGAAACCTCACAACTAGATGTCGCTAAAAATCACACACTGCACCTTTAAAAGGCACTGTAAAAGTATGATAAAAGAAAGATAAAAAACTCACATTGTGAAAATGGTTGACTATTTAACCTTTAAAGTAAGAAAGGTAACATGAGCTTTGGCACTGAAACACGTGTATTTTGAAATATGTAAAAACGAGTAATTAAGTACAGAAACATGTCAAACAATATCACTGCAAGAATACTGAAATACAAGAAAATTACTTACATATATGATAACAAATGAATGACAAGTAAGTGTGTATGCCTTGTGCTAATAAATAAAGACAAGTTTTAAAAGTAAAATATTAATGAAACATAAGAATGGACATTACTAAACCCATGTAAAGGCATCGTCTGCCCTTTTCTACCTTCTTGTGAGATCACTCTGCAAAGTGTGAATGATCTTTTACTTTGCAAAGTGCCATTTGTCCACTGAAAAATGGAAACGAGTTAAAGTTATATAATTTGTAAAATAAAAATAAATACCTAAATAAATAAATAATAGTAATAAAAAATATATAAATACAATTTTACCTTCAGAAGATACTGCGAGGGGTTCCCCATATTCTGCAGCCTACAAAAGCAAATGTGCAGTTGTCTTGTGTGTTCTCAAGGAATGGCAAAAATATGACAAAAATTTGCCAATATTAAAAGACATAAATACTCACAGCTTGAACCACAGCACTGGCCTCTGCATCACTGCATTTGAATGGACTATCGCACAAGGAGGTGTTCTGACTAAAAAAGAGAGATCAAAGTAAATAAGATCATAATCACGGTCATCAAAATGATTACCAAATTTTTAACAAAGAGAAACTCTGTTGTCATTTAAATCTGGTATAAAAATCACATCTCGCACTCACCAAACAATTTCATCACCTTTCATCTTTGTTCTCATCACTAATGCTTTCCAGAAGCTGTGTGTTGATTTTATGACTTCTATAGCAAAGTCCTAAAAATATATTAACATTAACAACATTAGATGATTATTTATTAAATGGATTAACACTTCTCCATCAGCAATCTACCATGATACGCTACCTTATCCTTGAACTGTCCATTGAATGCAAACTTGTTCTCAGGCTTTCCATCTGGTACTTTATATTTTTTAAACCAATCCACCGTAGCCTCAAGATGACCAGGCTTAATCTTTCTCACATCCCCAATACCTTTTAATGATACACTAATTGAGATTACTCAGTCATAAATGTAGATAATACAAAAACTACATAGATGTATAAAAACAAATACTCACTGTTAAGGCTTGATGCATCTGGGTCCTCTATATTGATGGCTATTACCTTCCAGTCAGTCTCTCCTTCATCTATCAAAGCCAGAATTCCAAGAACTTTAACCTGAATCACCTGCCCCGTTACACACACCTGTGACACAGAGATTTACAGTGAGTTACAAAAGTAATCAGAACCACAACCAATTTGTATTGGTAAAGAAAGAAGAATCTATTGTGCTAAATATTAATAAAACACCAAAATACATGGAATAATGGGCCAAAAATGCCACCTACACAGTGCCACAAGCTACAAAATAATTAGTTGAATTGTCAAAGTATTATAATATTATAACATCAATATAAAAAAAAAATTGTGTTTATTATATTTAAGGTTTCAGTGTATTGAATTAAGAGCAAAACTTAAAGCTGCTGTCCGTAACTTTTTTAAGTTAAAAATAATCCAAAATAATTATATTTAAAAAAACATATTCTGCCAGTGGTCAAAACTATCTGCTTGCCATAGCTAGATTCAAAACGGTTAGCTTGTAATAATGATTTTAATTCCAGTGGTACTGGTGGGTTTCCGCGGGAAATTCGAGCAAGTCTTTGCGTCATTACGTCACACCCGTACACATAAAGAAGGAGTTTCGGCTACTTGGCTATACTGCGCGTGACGAGATGTTTAGATGTATAGGCTTTTCTCGCAGCACTTTACATTATTAAACTTATGGCATCCAGAAAGATCCAAACAACAATCATCAGTGTCAACTGGAGATTCAGCAGTTATAAAACCCAAAAGACTTCGTACTTCGGATTTAAGGTGGCTAGAGAAAGAGAAAGAAACCGTCTCATGCGAACACAAGGATTTAAACATCGGCGGGGCTTTTGAAAAGTGCGTGAACTCCGTGTTTTGAAGGGGTTCAAAACGGAAGAAGAGACGGCCTTTTTCTGCTGAACAAGTAAGACATTTCAATAGTTCAATCGTGTAACAGTACGTTTTCTTAATTCACACAGTTATGGAGTTTCCTTTGTTGTGCCTTTCTCGTTTTGCTATTATGGAGAATATGAATTCTGAACTACACAGGTAGCTGCTAACCATAAAACACATTAAATTTAACATTAGTCACGCAATGCTGATGTTGTTAACATGAACAATTTGAGAACAAAGTAGGCTATAATTTGCACAGTTGCTGTAAATCACGTTGATTAAATCTAACGAAGCTTATGTCGAATGCTTTTTCCCCCTTAGTTGGTCAGAACAAAAATGGATTTTACTTACTTGTTCAGAAGACATTTTCTTATGAAAATTCTTATGTTGGTCAAACTTTCAAAAAGTGAATCTGTGATTCTGTATGACATTATATCCACACAGCGCGGTGACTGACAGCAGCACTCGCCTCAAAGCACTGTGTTCATCCGCGCTGTTTCATGCCGATTTACAACCCACGTAAAGATGATAATTCCACGAATCACTGCAGTTACAGATTTCGAACAGAGAGATGGCGACAAAGAGGAAAAGCTACGGACTGCAGCTTTAAATGTAGGATTTGTAATTTTGTAAACTACAAAACTGCTTAATGGTTTAAATGCTTTTGCAAGACATTATATTATTAACTATGCAGTTCCACTCACCTTGGAGCTAATCTCACACACGTCTATGGGGTCATTGTCTCCACAGCACGTGGTTTCCTTGTCAGTGTGGTTGGGATCTTCCCATGTCTTTATATATTGGTAAAAAAAATAAGATTATATTCATATTAAAATGTGATAGAGTATTAGTAATAAAAAAATATTACAACAATTAATATGACGAAACAAAAACATTGATTTTTCAAATCAGACTGGAAATTCATAGCCATAATCAAAACCAGGACATCACCTGTGGAAGTGCACCATAGTTCCAAATGTAACCTTTGTGCGGAAAAATGTTAGCTACATATCGTAGCTTGCCTTTCTTCACATCTTGCTTGATCGGGTTTAATGGTTCCTTTGTTGCTATCTATGGGTAAATGAAATTATGTAGTGTTTTTAAAAATTCTGTGCTCAAAATAACACACTATTGTATTGCACATAAGCACAATATAAGAACATACAATACTGTATTTAAAAGATTATTTTTTTTCTACTGATAGATTCTATCAATCTAATTTATTAATTAATTACACCACAGTGGGACAGTGGGGTAGACTTAACAGTTTTTAATGTTGAAAAATATACTTAACGTTACCTCCATCTTGGCATTTGACCAACGAGGAACTTCTACGACCATATTAAACAGGATCTGTTAAAGACAAACCAACATTATTAGCATCTAGTTTGCAACAATAAGGTCCCAAAATGCTTATATTGATGAATTGAACCTCATTCGTTTTTAATTTCTTTGGTGGAACGCCACATTCCTGAAATATAAGAAGCATGATGTCATTAGAAAAAAGACTGAGTAAGAATTGTGCCAGTTATCTTGATGCAGTTAGGTTATTGGACTAATTCATTATTTATTATCACCTGACCTAATAGCACTGATTTGAAGTAGACATCCACATAATACATACCAACCTGTTCATCAGCAACATACAGAGGAATGTCATGAAAAGGGGATATGTATTTTCCACCGGAAGTTTCTGCAAAGCAAATGTTACAACCTGTATCAGTCGTCCAAATTCAATTTATCTCAAGGTACAGACTCAGGTTGTGTTTAAATGAGGCTCTTCCCCTCTCTCTCATACTAGTGTTTGATACAAACAAAGAGATAGACCATGGTCGTTGCTAGACGATATGTAGAAAGCATAAAGAGCACAACAAGGAATTTGAATAGTTCAATAGTTTGGTTTTCAAGGCAGTTGAGTGTAACCTAAACCGGGAATAAGTGCATGTTACGTCTTTCACAATCTCCCACCGTTTTGGCGCTCACAAATTCGCAGCGAGGTAACACACTGTGTCAGCAAAAATAAATGTATTTGAGGAGGGGCTTAGTCCTAACTTATAGTCCTCATTTTTTATGAATGACATTTAAAGATGAGAAGGGCAAACTTACTTAAATAAATCCTGTAGTCAGTTGAGTTTGGTCGTCCCCTCTGCTCTGTTAGGTAGTGCACCATTTTTCTCAAATGAAAGGAAGCAGCTGAAATGAAAGACTTGCTTTTCCGAGAGGACTGCGAACAGAGAAAAGCTGCAGAAAACTTCGCAGCAGTATAAATAACTGAACGCATTATTTACATTTACATTTAATATAATAGTTCCTGATTGCGTGTAAACGTCTCCCACGTTACGCTCACAATCTCTTGTAGTTATTTAATACTGCCACCTATCGTCAGATGACCGTAATTTACACAAAAGGATCCAAGCAAGTATGGGTAACAGTGCCAATATTAGCTATAAGAGGGAAGTAAGTAGGCCTGTAATTGAGGTTAATTGTTCATATTCTTTGTAAGTCTACCTTCATGTTTTTCTATTCAGATTTTTTTTTTTTTATGAAAAAATATCAATTTTGTTATAAAAATGTAAAATAGAAGGCAATGATGTTTTGGTCTTCTGATGAGGATTCCATGTGATGAGAGTTCAGTAGGGGGCGCTCTTCGTATTTTTTGTAGCTGTTAGAAAGTTAAGAAATCACCTTTTAATAATCTTCATTTTATTCTATAGTAGCCTATACAAGAAAGTAGAAAAGAGTAGAATGTTGACATATTTTAAAAGTGAAAGGTGACCATGAGCTGTCAAAAAAAAAATCATAAACCGTAAATAAATCATATATCAAGAATTATGAGATCACAGCTTTGTATCAGGAGCAGACTGAAATTGAACTTGTCGCTGATAATTCCTCAGCTGCACTTCTAAAATCTCATGTGTCGTAAGTCGTAACCCATTAAAATTTTGCAAATGATGTTTGAGAGTCTTTCAGTAAATAATTAAACCTTAAAACTTAAAGGGGTGATGAACTGAGAAATCAAATTTTCCTTGAGCTTTTGACATCTAAGAGGTCATCATATTATAAGAATATCCTGTATGTTTCAGAACTGAAAACGTCCTTGTTAGTCCAATAAAAGCTTTTATTGACACCAGGCTCAGCAAACGACTCGTTTTTCAAAGTGGGGAACTATGACGACAAAGAGGATAAAACGCCACCCCCGCAGAAGAAGATCAACGCCTACTTCAACACGGCCGGTTTAGCCCCGCCCACCGATTCGCGCATTACACGAAACTCATTATAATATGCAAAACTGTTATCCACTCACAGCAGTGGGCGTTTACTTCCAAGTCTTCAATGCGAGACGCCCATAAAAACCGAGCGTTTTTGAGCTAGGCTCAAAACTAGGGTAGAAAATAGCCTATTACTTATTCATTTTGATGTTTTTTAATGTAAAAACCAAGCGAACGTCATAAGTTGACCTCAGACAACAATATAAAAAAATGTAAAAAGCCAGTTCATGACCCCTTTAAATCTCTGTTTCTTAAAAACTGTTTCTTACCTATCGTGTATCAACCACAACAGAGTTGCCTGAGGTTATGAATGCAACCTCAAATATAGAATAATACAATAAACACTATAAAGCAGGACTGATCTCACTAAAAGCACATTAGTCAAGTATTAAACTCTGATATTGACTGAAGATAATGAGCTTTTCCATGTTGTTATGTTGTTGTTTTTTTGTTGTTGTTGTTTTGTCTATTCAATAAAGGTCAATTAGGTCCAGTATAGCTGCTGCGTAGGCGTATGAGGACGGTAGGCCTAGAGCATGTTTCTGTCTATAAACAGAAAATGGAATACAAGTGTTTATGACTAGCCCCCGGTTTCACAGACAAGGCTTAAGCCTATAGTCCCAGGCTAAAATGCATGTTTAAGATGTTAAATTAAAGCAATTTGCACTGACATTTACTAAAATATGTCAGTGCCGTTTTTTTTTTTTTTTTTTTTTTTTTTAGATGCACACAGTAATGCTTTTTTTCCAGGTATGTTTATGAAAGCTACCTTAATGTCCTAATTGAACGCCTAATCATGGTTTAATCTGAGACTTGTCTGTTGAAACCAAGCCTAGATGTCAGATATGTTGCAAACCACATTTAATAATTTCATTATATTTGTGAAATTCCTTAATGCAAATTTTTCAGTCACTCTTGTACTCTTTATTAAAAAAAAAACAACTAAATCGGTTTTCACCCTGGTAAGAATGAAAAATAAAAGGCAGTGAAATTATTTGATTTATTTGTGAAAGTTTGTAAATGTATTCATGTATTCCTTGTACTTGTAGTTTTACATTTTTGTTTATTTTATTTTGTATGGTTTAATGTTTTATTTTTCAGAGTTATGTTTATGTTTTTTATTTGTATTGATTTACATACTACTATCTTGTTCTGTCCATGGACTTTTATGCTGAAGTTGTAATCCTGTTTCCTGTTCTTCTTCCTTTGGATTTAATGGCAAACCAGCTTTGGTGCATTTTCGCCACCTACTGGGGTGGAGTGTGAAGCGTTGCTGTAGAAGGAAAGAAAAAGAAAAATTCTAAATTCTTCCATTCAAACTTGTTTTCTTAAGATAATAAAGCTGTGGTCACTTTTGAATTATTCTTCAAAGTTATTTAATGTTAACCTTTTTATTCTTACAGATACAGCCTTAACCTCTTCCATGAGATGAGTATTATAACCAACACATCTTAGAAGAACATGTCCGACTGATTCTGGTAATCCATGTTTGCTGCACAATCGAGTATTTTTACCAATTAAAGAAAAATTATTGATTCAAAGTTGAGAGTCCAATATGAAGTTATGAAATTATTGGGTCATCCCTTCTTTAGCACAAACAGCTCTCACCTTCCCTACTTCTTTATATAATTCATGTAAGTGTCTTCCCTTTCTTTCCTGTGTCCACAACATGCCATCTATTCTTAATAATCCCGTTAACTAACCCCTTTATTTCAGCTTTTCCCAGAGGGACATTAACATTTATTCTTGAATACTTTAAAGCCTTTTTTTTGTTGCCAACTTTTATTTTTTATTTAATTTCCCACAATCCCCACGTGTGCAGGAATTTTATTAGATGTTAAATTCTGAACAGGGTCGGAAGGGTTTTCTGTGAGAATATTCTGTCTTGAGTCAGATTTTCATTTTTGTAAGCTTATAAGGCTTGGTAAATAATCAGAGCAAATAACTTGAAGGACATTAACCTCTTCCACCCATTGAAAAGCTAACTGAATTGCAATTCTGAGGAGTAAACCGATAAGAAATTAGATGTTCTATGACCTATTTTATAGTCCAGCTGTGGAATGACTACTGTTGCAGCTGTTTGCAGATTCAGGATCTTTTTCAGCTGTCAGCATATATTTGAGTGCAATAATGATGATACTCTTGATCCAAATATTGTTTATCCTGTTTCCGGTGCCACATGTTTGTAGTCCTTTGTAGTTTTCCCTGTTGATTAGTCTTGATTGTTCCCAGGTTGTCTTGTTAGTCTATTTGCCCAGTGTATGCAGTGTTTCTTGTGTTCATTGTTGGTTGTTGTCCATGGACATATGTGTTTAGAGTTAAGTTACTTTAGTTCCTTGTGTTCCATTGTTTTGATTTTGGCTTTGTTTTCATTAAACTAGCACTTCTGCACTTACTCCTGCATGGTACGTTTACACAACAACAGTGTTCTAAAAAATGTTCCGTTCACATGCACCCGCGAAACTGTCTACAAACGCTGTATTATGCTTGCCAGGCCAGTAATTGGCGATGTAAAGAAACACTATGCAAGACTGAACACGTACTATGCATGGGCATGACGTCACCATTTTCACGAAGTCGCGTTTTTGTAGTTTACACAAAGAAGATAACTGTATCGGTTTATGGAAGTAAAATAATGTCAAACGTTTTTGAAATAAAAAGCCTGTTGAATTGCACTACTTGAAAAAAATAGGCATTGCATTAACCCTGCTTGCATTTTTATGCATTGTATTTTTAGGGCTTGCATTTTTATGGGCTGAAATTTAGCATGGTTGAATATTTAAGCTGTGAATATTTCAATTAAAAACATTTCAAACACATTTTCATTATTAAAAATTCAATAATCCATATTCACCATTCATATTTCATTTCCAAAATATTCAAACGGTTTAAAAATACAACCAATAATATTCAACAGGCAATTTTCGGTCCATTTTATTTTGCTTTGCAAATTCGCTTCCACAAATTCATTGGTTCAAATTTTACAGTAAATTCAACATTGACGTCCAGGAACTGCAGGAAAAGCAGAAGATTGCCGAGCATAATCTCCATCTGCTGTTAGTCTATCTCACCAGCAGGGGGTGCAAAAGCGCTTGTTGTTGACGAAGACATTCATTCATAAAATGGAAATGATTATCTGTGACAGTATATGCGGAAAAGATGATAAACACACAAAAGCTGTGTTTTATGGGATGATTATAGTATCAAAATGATTAACACGTGCAAGCACACTTATCAATGAACTTGATACATGTTGCAGAAATGTTTTATCCATGCCTTTCAACTTGCGTGTGCAAAATTCAAAATTGAATGAATGTGAAGCAATTTGTACAAATAGAGACATTTTTGTGAATACAAATGTTTTCCTTTGTATTAGTGTATCATAATTTGCACATGCAACACAGAAGACGTGCATGTGTGGATCAGGTGACGCGCGTGCATTCATTGACTCGTTTCTGAGTCGATCCTATTTGATTCATTTGGATTTTGAGACTTTCATTTCGCGGGTTTCGCCTTGCACGATCCACACACAGCTGTCTGAGAAAAGCTGCTACCACTAGATGGCAGTATTCTGCTAAAACAGACAACGGCAGCATAATCAAGCGTTCTTCCGCATTTAAGACGCTTAATGAGAGTGATATTGAAGCACCAAATTTAGTACACAATAATATAGGCCTACCCTATTAATAAAGCATACTTTATAGAGGCAAACATTACGTCAGATTATGAACAACACCCATAGAAAACCATTATAAAACGCTTAACGTGCAATCGCGCATGCATGTTCAGTAAGTGCTACTGAGTTTAAATATCACCGTCTTACTGCATTGACGTTAAGCTTTTTCTTTATAATATGCTCTATGGGAGGAAAACTATATAGCCTACAGACAAGAGACTACATGAACGCAATGTACGGCGTTTCAAGTTAATAACATTTTCCTTCCCGAGCCTGTTAAAAAGAAAAAGCTTAACATGAAATAAAAATTCTGCAGTTGCGTTTAACTTTGCATGTGAATGGGAGAGCAACCGGTCCGAGAGTGCAGTGAAGTTTGATATTCGCCTCATTTTATAA